GCGGCGGTGGCGGCGGGGGCGATGGAGGCTTCTTTTCTGGCGGAGAAGGAACCAAATTCACAGGTTCATTTAGACGAGGCAGTGGAGGGGGGGGGGGGGGGGGGTGTGGTTGGAAGCAAAGGAGGTGAGCTCGCCCAATGAATCAACGCGAGACGAGAGGAAAGGTGGGAGCTCACATGCGTGCGGTCAACGAACAGAGGAGGAATCGACGTTGAAGTAGAGCTGCGATCGAAGGAGTCACAGAAGAAGACGCTGTGGCTTTGTAGAGAAGCTCCCGTGACATCATCAAGCGTCGAGCGATTCGCTGCGAAAGAGTTGTATGGAGCGAAGCAAAGCATCATGCGAGGAGCAGGCCAAATTGCGTGTGAGGGAAGAAGCTTTTCCGTGTGTGGATTAGGGCTTGACCGAGGTAAAATTTAATAATGTTAATTTAATTGAATAATAATAAAATTATCTATATATATATATATTGACCCACCCCCCTCTCTCCACTCGTATTTATCCACTATTATATATATTTTATGTTATGCTTGTTAAGGTTTAGTTTTTTGGAGTTTTGGTGTGTGATTTCTATTGGGATAGTCGTCGACGTCCTCTTTTTCCATTTGAGGGCTTTATCGGTTGCCAATACCCACCCTGCATATCCCCCAACATCTCCTGGTACTACTAAATACGTTAAAATACTGTTATTCTCTCTTACAGGCCCGTCCATGAATAGTCTTCCTCCATCTACCCTTTTCGTTTCCTTCCCTTCTTCCACCTGTCACGCCCTGTGCCCCTTCCCATATCATGTCCTCCTTCCAACAACCCCCCCTCCATGCCCCCAACCTTCTGCCTTCACCCATTATGTCGTAATCCTTGTTGCATTAACACAATGTCTCTCCTCCATCTGATGACGTAGCTCCCTCCAGTACAACCAGTTACTATCGTTAGCCCAAACCAGCCCTCCCCCTTGCTGGCCAATTTTTATTTTCTATTATGATTTGGGTTAACTCCGGTATCATATATATATTGTAACATTAATAGAAAATTTTATTAAATTAGGTCTTTTGGTTAGAAATTTAGTTTGGAGGGGCATGGAAGGGGGCAATGTGCGCGAGCTAGCGGAGAAAGATTATCCCGACCGGTAAAGAAAATTTAGGTTTATATTAGGATTTAATTAATGAATTTTTATAGCAAAAATAAAGCTAATTAGGTTTTTTTAATGTAAAACAATGAAAAACTTAACTCTTAAATAAGTTAAAGTTAATAGTTAATTAAAATACTATGAATAAATCAAATTCTAGTAATATGAGTATCACATTTATTATAGGCATCAATTTTAGAAGAATCGTGATTAAGGCTAAATTAAAAATAAATTAATTGTCATCGAGGTGAGTACTCATATTTTTAATCTATGATAATTTTATGGTTCTTCTCAAATGTTTTGTATTAGTATTTCATGATAATTGTACAAGCTTTATTTTGACGTATATGTTTTATTTATTGGTTACATTGTTATGAATATTTGTAGCTACTTACCATGATTGCCTTGATGAATGTTGTATATATATATATATTGAATTGAATGCGATGAACACATGAATGATATGTATATATTTACTTATTATGATCAAGTCACATTTTTACGGTATTAGCGGGGGAACGCTAAGATACTTGTAAACATAAATGAAAAATAATTTTGATATTGAAGTACTTTAAATGGTATAATTTTAAAAAAGTACTCATATGTCGGGTGTACATGTATAAAATGATATAGATATGTTATTGATATAATGAGATTCATTGAATAACATTAAATATTTATATTTATTTATTAAAAGCTTAACTGACATACATATTACTTTATTTTCTCTTGTATTACTGTAGTTTAGGAGTGCGAGTATTCACCGACATTGTTTAGCTTACTGTTATTTTAAAACTATCTTTTAAACTTAATTTAATTGATTATTAGATGAATGATCAATGAGAAAAAAAAAAATTATAGAAGGCGTGGACAACCTGTAATGAAGTAAATTTAATTATACCGTTTTATTTTAATTATATTAGTGGCTCTTTCATTTGTTAAATATTATGTATAGAGAATGAATATAACAAATTTTCTTCCCACCATCCGATCATCTATGTCTTGGTTAATTCCAACTCCTGGGTCGGGTCGTGATATTTTTACTAGTATCAAATAAAAGATGATTATAAGTTGTTCGTCAAAACTAGCCTAATCTACTAACATGTAAAATCAGAATACAGACAACCAACAAGATCTTTACAACTATTGCTGAATTTCCCAAACGTAAAATGGGTAGAGATTTCATTTGTCGTTTGCCTTCATGGATTCCCAAAATCTATTGTGAGTTATTGTCACCCCATTTTTCTTAACACGATTTGGAAATAGTTATTTTGTTTCAGTGACGCAATTGAATTTTGGCAACTTCTATTATCCTCAAACGAACTGATAGACATAAGTGACAAATTGTATGATTGAACAATATATGTGATGATTCGCCATGGAAAAATCTTTGCCATTGGTAACTTTTTTGCCCTTGGTTGAATTATCTTATAATACATCTTTACAGTTTTCATCAAAGTATACTTCATTTCAATTATTCTATGAATGCCTAACAACCACATTTGTTTTCAATGACAGTTGTACTTCTGTAGAAGCTATAAAAACAACATTACAAAACTGTAATAAAATTCTTTAGTAGTTTAGTCTCAATCTCTATGCCACACAATCATATGAGACAACCCGTTGATAAGAAAAGACGGGAAGTAAATTTTCAAGAGATCATGCCTTGGTTCACTTACAAAGTCTCTATTATCTAGCAACATTACTCCAAACTTACTAAGCACTACTTTGGACATTTCTTGGTGCTTAGCAAATTAGCAGTGTTCTTTATAAATTCTATTTGTCATTGATCGTATGTATTCATCCATCTTGTAATGTTTCATTATTGAAGCCTTATTATAAAACTATTTTATTTCATCCTAAATCCTTATCCACAGATGCATTTGAGTGACACCCGATCAGCAATCATGCAACAATGCTACATATTACTAAAAAAAAAAGCCACTCCTACAATTATTGGTTCAATGGGAAAGACAACACTCTGAAGACGCCTCCTGGGTTTTGTACTCAAGATTTGTACATGCCTACCCAACTTATGAGCTTGAGGATAAGGTCAATTTCAAATGATGAAGAAATGATATGAGCCCACCAGAAGACATCACTTTTGAGGGGCGGAGTCCAGAAATTTTCTTTTAGTGGGGACATAAATTAATGATTTGAGAAAAATTTTTAATTCTTTATTAATCTTGGTTTGGGACATGACGGTTTTGAAAATTTCATAAAACAAAAGTGGTTGAAGCTAGTATTCAACAAAAAAGTTCCAAAAACTTTAAATGCTCCCATTAATCTAGGTTTGGGATTTGGCGCTTAATCGTGTTTTAAAAAATATTTTATTAACCGTGATAATCAAATTTGTATTCAATCATACCCAAGAAAAATATTCTATAAGAAGTCAATTAATGCCGAAAAATTTCTCTATATGGCTTAAACAAAGATTACATAGAACAAGTAAATTTCATCAACTTGTATGATGAAAAAGGCTATGAGACATCTTGCCCCAATACAAGGCAGTAGAGAAAGAGCATAAGAAAAAATAGATTATTGAAACATACAAGATATTGATTTCTTTTTCATTTTTATTTTTCTTTGTGAAAAGGGATAGCATAAATATCTGTGGACCAGATTGTCAATAAGAAGCAACAATACAAATGCAATAACATATTATTATGAATCCAAAAAACGATCCTCTAGACCCATGGGAGAATTCACTCAATTATTAAACATGTGGTAACTGTATAAAATAATAAATTCAGGAATAACAAAGTTAATTTATGAGTAAGATGCATGCATTAGAAATCTAGCTATATGACTCAAAGAAGCATCAAGCATGAAAAAAAAAGGGCCTCTGAAAGAGGTAGACAACTATTAATTTAGTTGCCTATGAAAACAAGTGTGAAAATCTACGTTAATCGGCTGTCTTATGTAGACTCTGATTGGTGCTGCAGAAAGTCAGGAACAGCTCAGAGAAGCTTCTTCATTTGTCTTACGTCAGTGTGAGTGAAGACCCAACCTACGTGTGTTTGTACAAAGCTCCTAATAATTTTAGTGGTTAGATCTTCCAAGGATCATTCCAAGGATCAAGCCATTGCACTACTCTGTCAGATGACATGCTGCCAGAAGGGGGTACTCGGTAGCTGGGCTAATATAAGGTGTTATTAAAAAAAAAAGGAATATAAAGTTATTTCAGTGTGTTGGGCCAGCCCTAGTGCCTCCACTGTAGCTTTGCTCTTGGTTGCTATATCTATTCGACAAAAAACCTAACCTTACACATCAAGGACTAGGATGGCGCAGGGACTTTATTTTAATCTGTGTTTTGTGTTGGGTTTTATTTTACCTTTTACCTGATAATTTTGTGTTAGCTTTAGGCTTAGTTTGCTTTTAGTTTATTCAATTGTTGAGCCTATAAATAGGTCATTTGGGCTGTATTGAAGATAAGAAATTTTAATAAGGAACCTCCCTAAGTTATTGTTTTTTTCATGCTGGTAACGAGGACTAGCGGTATGGTTCAGTTGCAATTTTGTGTGGGTAAGGATTACCTTATTCAACCGAGCAATCATTTACTCTAGCTGGAGCTTGTTGTACTGCTTTTGTCAGATTTTGTGTAAATTCCTCTGGTCGTAGTCTGGGCAAAGCGACCAAATTTTTCTATTTTTTTATTATTATTATTATTATTATTATTATTATTATTATTATTTTTATTTGGACACTGAGTTTTTATAACTAACTGGAGCAATTTTTCCTTTCTTTTTGTTGGAGCTGCTCCTATTTTGAACTCTTTTTTGTCTGCTTAGATTTTGTTTGTTCTTATTCCGAAAATAGGTAATGCAGGATGCACCTAATTGATTTTCTTTGTTGTTCCCTTTGACCTAAACAGGTATCCTGATGAAGACGCAGGAGAGATACCAATGGCATTTATTGTCAGGCGACCGAGAAGCTCTATTAGCTCTGCCGCAGTCATGGATTTTGTTGGGAAGCAGGTATCTGTAAATTTATTGCATGTACACACAACCATTCCCTCTGCTTAGTATGTATTATTTTATCAAAACAAATTGCATCTACGTCTCTGCCATTGAAAATCAGGACCATTGAATTTTGTTGTTAGTGTTGGGTGAAATGAAATATTTGCATGTTATCTTATCCCTGAAGAAAATTTTTTTTTTCCTTCTCGTAGATCTCTAATGTGAAGATAAGAGTTGGGATGATTTTTTTTATAGTTAATGGTAAATAGTGTAATGTTCTGGCAGTCTTTAGCGAATAAAAAACCTAATAACATAGACATTTTGAGCTAATACCATAACCCCAAAAGACCTTCATAAAGTTTATAAATCAGAATTTTTCAACATATAATTGTTCAATATATAATCTTACAAATTTATGATTAATTCACACATCTGAATTATCAGTAGGTGTATTAATGCCTTTTCTTTGATATCAGTAAATTGTGTGTCAATGTTGACGGTGACTAGACGTTATTATTCTGTTATTTTTGAAGATAAGATGTTATGGTGCGTCTAATTATCCGTAAACTTGTCGTTTTTGTTGATTTATTCTTTGTATAAGGATAATTTTTTCTTATTTTTGTATAGGTTGCGCCATACAAGAAAATTCGAAGGGTTGAATTCATCGACACGATACCAAAATCTCCTGCCGGGAAGATCCTTCGGAGGGAACTCATCGAGCATGCTGTCCATAATCCGATATCAAAACTATGAGCATCTTCTTTTAGGATTTACATCCACACCACTCGATTCTTATGTATATGCATGTGTAACACCTACACTTCAATTTTTACGTACATGCCTCCCTATGCATGACAAGCTTTATTTTATTATTTTCTTAACTTAAATGGTGGTATTTTTTTGGTGTGATATGAAAGATTTGGATGTTACAAATATAAAATGTAAAGTTTAGAGGTTTAGATATGTAAATGCATAGGAATTTAGTGCTATGCATGTAAATGCCCCCCTGTTTTCAATATCTTGCCATTTATTGTGGCGATTTCTATATGCGGCACTGATCAATAATGAAAACTTTGTGATTTTCGCCGAATATTTAATCATACGATATGATTGATGATGATCAAGTACGGTCAAATCAAATTGTTCAAATTTTATTTAATGCTTTATTTAATAAATTTTCAAGTCTTGATCATAGTTGGTTATAGCTTAACATGACTAAAAAATTAAGAGTAGAAAAACGTCATTTTTCTTGTCAAAGTTAATCTTCATGTCATTTGTGCTGAGTTGAGCTTATCAGGTCATTATCTTCTTTCTTTATGAATATGTCTCAAATATTTTTTATTATGATGTATGAGTTCAACCTTTACCTGAAGTATCTTAGCTTAGACAAGCATTGATTTTAGCCAATAATATTAACTCATGTTAAATTAATCCTTGCACTAATATTAGCCAACAATATTAACTCATCCTAAATTGTATTTGTGACCACATAAACTATTAATCTAACAAGCTTAAGTTTGTGTTAAATATTTAGATAGTTGCAAAGATAATTTAGTGTGAATTAGGTTAGAATAAATTTTGTGCAATTATGCGTGTTATTATTTTAAGAAATACTTGAAAGAACAAACGATTAGAAAAGTATGTAGGAAGTAAAAAGGATGAAAATAATTCATAACACTCGGATTGACGCCTTAGACTAAGGACCATAACCCTATTTATAATTGAGGGCACATATTTCATTTTAGCCCAGCATTAAAAATTAAATAAATACCTAGTCTCTACACAATATTAACTCCATATAAATATTACTATATTAAGATGTCACACAAGCCAAATATTAAATATTTATTTGATTGCAAATTTTATAAGCTTAGGACAATTAAGTTATCATGTAATATATAATTATTATTGTATATGGGCACACTTAATTATTCCAACAGTCTCCTACTTGGGCCATGGATATAACCTATTAATTAGGACGTCGGGTAAACTTTTCTTTCTCGAAGCTTAATGTTCATTCTCGTACATGACACTATTTTATTCATGGTAGATTGCTTCATATTAATCACTTTAGTGAGGTAACCCAACAAAGAGCTACATTGAATTATTGCATTCAAATGAACCAACAAATTGACATTGGCTTTTTGATTTACAAAAATATGTGTATTTCCTTAAGAGGAGGAACTACTGGAGGTATGGGTTTTCCTGCTCTTATTACGACCATGTGTGTTGAATTAGGAGTGAAATATGAGACTTGGGAAGAAGTTTTACCATCTCATAAACCTATTGGGAAAACAAATTTGGATATGTGTGGAAAGCATACTAGAGTAAGAACTAGAAGTAGAGGCTCCGATATTCCTTCAAATTCAGCTTCAACTTCAACTTCTACCTTCTACTTCCGGTACTGCTTTACTCGATACTATAATGGAGCAATCATTTCTCCAACAAGGAGATATATTAACATTACCGAATCAACAAAAAATTTTAGAAGCCCATCTCTATTATAATGATGAGTATATACAAAAGAGAGTTGATTTTGATATTATTTATCTTGAGGCGATGGAAAAATTCTTACGGGGTGACCATACTGTAGTATTTCCTACTTACCCCAAATATACACCTTTTAGGCTTGATGATATGGAGGAGGATTTAAATTTTGGTGATGATGATGAATATAGTGATGAAGGTGAAGATGATGTGTAGTTTTGTTTATTAATTTTTTTTATGTGTTCTGTTTTTATGTTTAGATTTCCTGTGGTTAGTTTGTTGTTTTTTACTTGTTAAATTTTTTATATTTAAAGTTTAAGTTTGCATTTGTATTGAACTAGTAAATTTATGTTTGTTGAACTATATGATTACCTTATGTTTAAATGCTAGAATAGTCTTTTATTTTAGTTAAACATGTTAGTTTCACTTGTCTTTATTACTTGTAGCTGTACTATTCTCTTGTTTTAAACTTTATGATTATTCTTTCTTCATGAACTATCTTGTTAATTAAAAATTTAAGTTTGAAGGGGAAAGAAAAAAAAAAAACTTTTTGAAAACTAAACTTTATTTGTTCCCAGAGAACTATATTTTAAGAAAAAAAATTAACATAATATGTGGTATGCTAGGTTAACTTTAGATATCTATATTTTGAATTTTATAAATTTTATAGAAAACTGAAGTTAAAGTTCTTTAATAATAAAAGTTAGATCTAGAGTTAAGATTTTTAGTAAAAGAATATAAGATTATAAATTTACTATTTAAAGTAAAGAAAATTATATTTTTGAAAATATTAATAATCTTAGATATTTGTTTCAAAAAGAAGGAATTGAGACTTTATGAAAGATCTTTTTCAAGGCTAATACAATTTCATCAAACTAAGGAAACATGAAAATTTTTCAACTTTAAAAAAAAGATGGTGGAGTTCAAAATCATTAAAGGTTATCCAGATATAGTAATCCTCACATGACATGAAAGGAAAAAAGAAATAATTGAAAGAGATCTTAAAGAGAAAAAGAAAAAGAAAAATCAAAAGAAAAAGAAAAAGCAAAAATAAAAAATATGTGGAGAAGCTTAAGGAGATGCCTAATAAAAAGTTGGCTCTACTTAAATCATCTTAAAGAAAGAAACTTAATTACATTTATAAATTAAGGCTTAAAGTATTAGTATCCTTACTAATAAAGTCCTTATGAAGTTCTTTTTACTGTAATACTTCTAAGTATTCATTCTAAGCCTTCAAAATATGACAAAATTATAACTATTCTTGAAATAAAGAGAAAATCAAAACTCTTAGACTTGACTACTAAATATTCTTACACTTTAGTTTTAACTTGAGTTATTAAAAATTTTTCTAAAATTTCACTATCACATTTATAAAACAAAAACTATAGAAATCTCTAAGTTAAACTCACTTCCACAATTATAATTTTTACATAGTATAAAGGAGTTACTTGAGGACAAGTAACGTTTATGTTTGGGTGAATGATCCACCTTAAAATTACATATTCTTAGTGCTTATTTTACAATCATTTTATGCATGTTTTTAGTGGTATTGCAGTTTAAAGAAATGTATTTTATATATTTTTGGTTTCAGGCACATGGAATGGACATTTAGAGAAAATGAAGGAAAAATGAGTAAAAATACATCACTTTATATGGCGCCATAGCGCCACCCCTTGGCGCTATAGCGCCACAGACGGGCGTAATGGGTGCTATAGCTCCCAGAATTGCCCTATAGTTCCCAGATTGGCAATATAGCACCATTAACTACCCTTCTAGAAGATTCAATGAATTTGGCTGAATTTTGAAGGGGTGTTTAAAACAACCATTGGTTTTTTTCAGAGATTTATTAAAAGGGAGAAAAATGGGATGAAAAAGATGACTTTTGGGAAGAATTTGAAGGCTTTAGGTAGTTCTACCTTTTTGTTTAAGTGTGATTTTAAGTGTCTTTTGTGCTTTTAAGAGTAAGAGTTTGGAGAAATCTTTAAGGAGACTCCAGAATTGTGTTGGGGAGAAGACATAAGGTATTTTGTATTTGTGTTTAAGTTCTTGTTTCTAAGATTTGGATTTCAATACAAATTATGTGTTTTTTTTTTATTCTCGATGAATTTTGAGTAGTTTCCTTTTCTTTCTTTTTACAATTGGGAGTTAATCTTATGGGATGAGAATGATTTAAAGATTTCTTTTTTACTTTAAAAAATTGTCATGACATTTTCATCGTTTCTTCATTAACTTTACAAATTGGCCACTTGTGAGGTTAAAAATTTATTGAGAAACATAAAGACTTGGGAGGGCTATGATTTCACCGAACTAGTGAGTGTCACACTTCATTCTGGGCAGAGCAATTGCGATTGCCTAAGGGGAGTGCAAATAGATAGAGAGATAAATTTTGATGGGAGTAGAATTGAAGTTTCTAGGGTGACAAACCAGATCCTTTTTATCAATTTGATTTAGAGTTTGGATCGTAAGGGTTCCTAGTAGGTCCCATAGAGAGGGCACAGTGGGTAATCTGGATCGTAAGGGTTCCTAGTAGGTCCTACTCAGCACTATTACACAAGCTGATGAAAAACTCTAAATTAGCCAATGTTCTTTGCTAGCACTGGGAGGGAGTAAAGAATAGGAATGCTTCCATTTGTCACAATACATCATCTTATTTTTAGTCATTCAAATCTTACATATATTGTTATCTCTTTGCAAGGGGAAAGATTTTTTCATAATATTCAAACTAGTTAAATTTACTTTGTTTAACTATTAATCTTAGTCATTTATATCTGCTTTAAATTTGTCTTAACCTTTGCAATCATATTAAAATTGATCTACTTTAATTTTACTTGCAATTTAGATAGAATTTCACTAGTCCAGTTTTAATATTTCAACTTTTCCCGTGGGATCGATACTGAGTTTTTAAAAAAAATCATATATTACTTAAAACGATACATATACTTGCCTAATACCTCTAATGTGAAGTTTTATTATTTATTTTTTATATCATTTCATTTATTCACACTAGCCGCTAAATATAAATTGAGTCAAGTTATTGATAATATTTTGGAGTTTAAAAGTACATGTAATAGATGGTCGAGTCAGGGAAATTTCCTTGGGTGAGCTGATCTTAACCCAATGGGAGGCTCATTTGGATTTGCTTGCTCTCTTTTTTAGTAATCGGTGGGTTGAAGAGCTTCTTGTGAGAGTTATTGGGGAGCTGTCCGAGAAGGCTTGGAGAATTTGGAGATCCCTTAGAGAGTGCTTCTTGGGAAGATTAAAGAGGAACATCTTCATCTTCCTTAGAAGGAGAGGGGCAAGGTAGTTGATCAACCTTACATTCCCTTCTTCAACTCCTTCTTCCTCATCCCCTTAATCTTCCTCCACCACATTTCTTGCATGTGTGAGGAATGCTTGTTGAGGAGGAGCTTGTCCAGCAAAGAAGCAAGGCTCTCAC